TTTGGCAATCGTTACTGCAGTTTAAGGAAAAATGCCCGTCACGTGACCTTTTGACCTGTAGTGACCTGTAGTGACCTCTTAAGTGACCTCTTAAGTAGGTTAACATTTTTTTTATGGTAGCAATTTCTAAGACGGACCCATTGGTACCAAAATCATTAAAATTGGTTGATTATTAGCAAAGATATGAGTTGTTATGTTATTTATACCCCACATTTTTTAACGGTGTCGCGTCACCCACCCTTGTCTATAAAATGGCTTCTAGCACAAAACTGATACCACAATTTGAGACTACATAGTACCTGGGGGTGTTCTAGGGGGTCTATTCGACCATCCTGTGAAGTCAAACCTTAGATGTAGTGACTGTTGAACGAAACGAAAATGTCAAGGTTCATGCTCCTGGACTAACAAGATATTTTGCTTGTCCTGCAAAATTTTTGCTTGTCCAGATTAATAACATAGAAATATAGTAAATGTGTAATACATTTAATCAAATAAAATTTTAGACCCAATATCTTACTTTGTATTTTTAATACGGTTCATTAACAGTTCAAATTAAACCAGAAGTGACGAATTTTGTCGGGTTGTATCTAAAAGACTAATCGAAAATACGAAACGAACTGCAAAAATGGCGGTGGCCAGTGATGGTAGAAAATGATGAAAAATTGCTCTAAAAAGTTGCTCTAAAAAGCTGCTTGTCCACTGAAGCTGCTTGGAATGTATCACACTAGTGAAACACATAACACAAACTATATTGACTGCTACATATATAAACATGCCATGTACATTCACAGTCTACTGGACAGGTCTACTTGTCTTCTGTGAAAATGGACAAGGGAGGACATACGGATAGCCCTTATTTCGAGTATGGCAGCATTGTGATAAACCTTACCTTATGGCCATGCTCCCAAATGTTTTTGGTCACTATTAAGTGCATATATTAGCTGTTATATATATATATATAGCTGTTAGCATATATGTGGTTTATATTACAATATAATAAAACACTGAAAAATGAAAGTAGATCAAATTGATTTATAGTTGTTGTGGAAAAATCTGTCAAGTCATCATGGGGGTTTTTCTAGTTTGACTTGTTTGACTTATTTGTTGCAATGTGTGAAGCTGTTAACATTCTTTTAGATTGTTTAGGTATTTTGTGCGTGCCCGTGTCCTTGCTCCCACCATATAAATAATAATAATAATAATAATAATATTAATAATAATAATAGGTTTCACCTGTTAAGTATTTCAATATATGACACTGCGCAAAGAATGCTATTGCATCCAAGTATGAATGTGTGATTTTTGAATACGAATCTATTAGCTAATTAGGTTTTTTCTGTTTGCACAGAGTTATAAGCTAATTATGCACCATATTAATTACTGTTTGGTGTATAAATGAGTTTGTAAAAATTTATTATTGACGTTGTTCATTATCCTCAATATCGAAATATGTAATGTTGGATTTAAGGCAAATTTTTGTAATTGAGGCAAATATGCATTGGAATGTATCATTACACAGGGGCGGATCCAGAAGGTTTTGGTGACCAGTTTCCATAGATCTAGTCACAGTTAGGGGGGTCCGGGGGCATGCCCCCCCCCGGGAATTTTTTACAAATTAGGCTATATTTGGTGCATTCTGGTGAATTTTGAGGGCCAATTCTGAAGATGCCCAGCCTGTGACCAGTTTTTGGAAACCGGTGCAAACCGGCCTAAATCCGCGCCTGTTACACGCATTACATTTGCAGAACAACTTCTTTGACAAGTTAACTGCTGACATGGATCTCAAGAATAACCTCATTGTGAGCACTCAAAACAGGTAATGTGTACATTTTTAACTAAATGCATGCCAAGCCTGCTAGAAAATTATGCTGTACATATTGCTGGTTCCCTTGCAAGTTTGTTGAAGAGATTCTTAAACGGCATTATGCAACCATCTTGTCATTTATGAAATAACCAGTGTGTGTATAGAGTATGAAGTTATTTGTATGTTGTTGCCTTTTTTAACAGAAACTGTGGTTATTTAACAAGAAAGCTGTGCTATGCTACATTCAGCCTACAGAGAAAGTGTAGTCACAGGTATCCAAAACTCAACAAAACTGTGCTGGAAAATGAGAGAGTACTCGAAGCAATACACTATGCTGCATGTGAAGATGATAATGGTATGTCACCATATTTAGTATGTTGCATTATTATAGAGGATGAGCCCTTGCACCACTCTCTGCCTTTACATAAAGGTACTTGTTCTGATATCAGAGCCATGCAAGAGTAGTTTAATTGAGGGTATTCGAGGCTTTCTCATTCGATATTTTACTAAAGTAATACAAGCATGTTTCATTTTACATTACATTTATTCCATTTTGACTGATACTATTATTAACTCATTAGTGATGAATTCTGTTTATTGTGAGACCTATTACATGGTTCCTGTGTATATTATTATTGTAGAGATTAAAACATCACATGCTAGTGCTGTGAAGACACACAAAAAGAGAGCAAAAGAGGTGCTAACAAAAATGGCTGCTGCTATATCTTCAGCTTGGATCAGGTGTGTATTTGGTTGTGGAAAAGGTTCTCTTTAGAAGTCCATCATACCAGATAAAATACAGATAACAAATCTGTTATCGTGGGCTTGTGATCCAATATATTGTCTTTTACATGATTCTGTATTGCAAAAAAAGCATTACATGGCAGGTAGGCAGAATGTTTTTAAAATATTAAAAAAATGCTGTCCATAAGTATAATTATGTAATGTATAACTATAACTGGATGTTGTATATTATAGCCGCGTTCACACGTAGCAAGAAATCCGGTATTTAGCGTTCACACGAGGCAAAATACGAGGCCCAAGAAATACGGTATCTAAACAGATCCGGTATTTCATGTAAATACGAGGCTTCCCAGACCCCGAATAATTTGCCGTGCTAGAGAAATACCGGATTTCTTGGACCGCGCATTTCCTCGTGTGAACGCTAAATACCGGATTTCTGGAGCCGCGTATTTTATAGACTGGTCCGCGCTCGACAGTTCCAGTGTAACGCGAGTGGAACTGTCGAGCGCGGACCAGTCTACGAATTTTATCGGCAGTTGGTGCGCATTGCATTGTTTATTTCGCATTGTTTGCTTGATTGTTACTAAGCAGCTCGCAGCTCGCAGCTCGCAAATACCGTATTTCTGGAGCCGCGAATCAGCGTGTGAACGCTCAGCCGCGTATTTGTCTCAGATACGGTATTTCGCAAATCCTGTATTTCAGAAATACGAAATCTCGTGAGAACGAGGCTTATGCTAAATGAATATTTTTTCTTGGCCAACCTTTTTGACACCCCTTACACCAGATACCATTGATAGTACACCAATAATATTTTATTACTTTCATTGTCGTAATGTAGGTTAACAGGCTGGGTACTGCTGAGGGTGTTCAACCACATGCTAGACAGCATACAAGTTCATCAGGGCCAAATGGAAATGGTGAAGAAAGCAGCAAAAAGCAATATTCCAGTGGTATGCATGTTTCATACCGAGACCTTTACTATATCTCCCTGAGATGGATATATATATGACAATATGTGTGTCGTGTGTCTCCGTTCAAATATATTATTCTGGTCAAGCAACATAACATTTTGCAAAGTAAAAATCTTCTACACATGGTAGCTGTAGTGACACACATAGGTATACCAGGGAAAAAATAAATTTATTTTTCGGGGGCTACTTTTCAAGCTCACATGCATGAAAATAGCACTCTAAAATTTGGTTTGCATTGAACTCTATGCAAATTTCCGGGGGCTCTTTTTGGCATTTCCGGGGCTCTTTTTGGCATTTCCGGGGCTCTTTTTGGCATTTCGGGGGCTAAATCGCCCCGAGCCCCCGTGTATTTTTTTCACTGAGGTATACTTTGCTATATTTGTGAAAAGGTGATGAGCACCCAAAATGAAGTTTATATAGTTTTGTCATCTTTACGTTTTTATTGTGTTTTACAGATATTCCTCCCATTGCATAAAAGCCACTTGGACTATCTCTTGCTGACGTTCATTCTGTTCTTACATGACATTAAGGCTCCACATGTTGCTGCAGGTGACAACCTCAGTATTCCCGTGTTCAGGTAAGCCCACTTTAACATGGTTAAGCACCATGCTAGCTAAGAAGCGGAAATTAAATTATTGTTATGAGTTTTTTGCCATATTAGTGTGAGTATACTATCAAGATAATGATAATTTTTGGTCCTAAATAGTTACAGGGGGGAAAGATTCCTGAGTTGGTTTAGAAAATTGGTTACTGTGTTCATCATATGTGTATTATTTGAAAAGAACTGCAATTATGCTATTAGTGTTATAGCAATGCATGTAACATATGTGTATATATAATTAACAAAATTTATTAGAAACAGTTAATTGTTTTATATGGTTTTTATTTAATAGAAACATATTTGTTTTTTTGAGTCTTATAATAATATTGACATAATTGTTGTATACAGTTTTAAGTATTAAGAGAAAATATTAAGCAGCTTGCATTGTTGTGGTTAGTGGTTCTATTGTCATTAATTTTCAATGATCACATGTTCTAGGTATATCCTGCGTTCACTTGGTGGATTTTTCATCAAAAGGAAGTTGGACCCTCATTATGGCAAGAAAGATATTGTCTACAGAGCTCTGCTACATACGGTAGGAGTATTTGTTTTGGCAAAATGGTGAAATCAGTGATCCCATTAAATACCATGGTATGCACATGTTTTTTTTTATCAAAAGTTAAGGTTGGATAAAACTACTCTTCCTCTACAGTACATGGCAGAATTGCTGAGACGGGGCCAGTATGTCGAGTTCTTCATAGAAGGTGGGAGGACACGCAGTGGCAAAGCCGGTGCACCAAAGGCGGGGCTTATGTCTGTTGTCATTGACACATTCATCGATGGTAAGCTGTTTCACTACGTTTCCATGTTACTGAAGCTAGTTTGCTATACTGAATGTATTCATTTCATGTTTCAATGCAAAACAGTTTAGATTTTGCTGTAGTTAAGTTCAAGACATGCTGCAACGACAAACGCACAACCGTAATGTTCAGTGTTAAAATCGCAGTCCCTGACACAGCCATATATTGCAGGTGGGTCAAACCTCGTCTCCTTTCTGACTACATAATAGCTGACATTTAAGGTTTACCATTGATTTTGGGTTACTGTGCTAAGGATAGCCAAATGTTTTATTTAATATCGTGGAACTATGTCTCTGGAAATCAGAAACGGAATTTTTTCGTTAATAGTGTTTTCACCAGACATTATCACATGATTCTAATTTTCTTAAATGTCTTCAAATTTTACGGTTGGTTGTTGTCGCTGTAGTGTGTCTTGACCTGTACTTGTGCAAGAAAGAGTAATGGCAGTGTGGACATCACTCGTGAGTATCATTCATGTTCACTAGCTTTGCATGTTTGCTCAGGAATTGTATTCTTGTAGTAGAGCTATAATTTTTCTACACTGATAACAATCACTACAGATAGTATTGCTCTCTATCCGTCAATATATTACTATATAAGAAAATCTAATTAAATATTTGTTTTTTCAATAAATTTATTTCTTGCAGGAACTGTCACAGATGCATACTTGATTCCGGTTAGCATCACATATGAGAAGGTTCTTGATGGAGAGTTTATACGGGAGAATATGGTGGGTGCCTTCAATGCAGTTAGTAAATGCCTAATAAAATAAAAGTGACATAGCAGAATGCCCATTTACGATTTACTTAAGATTTTATATGATATGTACCACAGTGGACTAATGTATTGTCACTTGAATATGATGTGTAAGAAATGTGTTACACGTTATGATCATATTGTTTTTCAGGGTTCAAAGAAAGTGCCAGAGACTTTTTGGGGTGCAGTGAAAGCAATATGGAGAGTGCTCAAAACCAATTATGGGCACGTGCGAGTGACGTTTTGCCAGCCCTTCTCCCTACAGGTTTGGAAACTGTTGTACATGTGTGTAAATAGTGTTGTTGTAGTTATCTATTACTTGTGTTATGCTTGTTGAATGCTTGGGAGTCTGCTCAGCATCCTTTTGAAATTAACGTTTTGTTTGTCGCATCTACTCTAAGTATGCTACTCAGTTCAGTACTTAGAAAACTTGGTCGCATATAAGTGTCAAACCATGGTGGTGCTATTATTTTCATCAGCTAACTCATATATTGTACTTTATAATGGTAGTATGTTTTAGTAATGTAAATCTCACCATACCTGTTATAACCGGATGTTCCATGTTATATAAGCACATTGTTAGTTACAATTTATTAGCTCATCTGACGTAGTCCGGTGCAGCTTGTAGAATCGCATGATTGTCCGTCCGTCCGGCTGTCCGTCCGTCTGTTCGTCCGTCAACAGTTGGGCACAAATCTTAACCGCTCGACGTACGGTCACGATATTCGGGACGTGGGGGGGTAATCCGAAAACGAGTTGGGATGTCGAAGCTGGGGGTCAAAGATTAATGGTCAAGAGGTGTAAAAGAAGGGGGAACATTCCCTCCTTAACTTAAGGTATAGGGAGGAAATGCAGAATTGCGGCACAAATCTAAACGGCTTGACCTAGGCTCGTGATAGTCGGTGTATAGCATCATGGTAGGAAAAGCCATCACTGTGCTGAAATTGGAGGTCACAGGTCAAAGGTCAATGGGGCACAGGGCAGATTTTCTGAGGACATGGTCTGACGGAGCGATTGAAAAACTTTTTTGTTTCAGCGGTGTCCTAGCATTTTTATGGCTTTATTGAAAGGACCATGAAATGTACTTTCCGCAGACATGCGAAGAGTAAGTGTCGGATAACCTTTTGACCCTCAAGAGGAGGGTTAAACATGGATTTGTTTACTGTTAGAAAGAATTTGACTGCCGGGTTTGCTAGTAGAATCTATACATGCCTGGATGTATGAGGCTACAATGTCACAGTGAAATTTCAAAAGCTAAATTTGGTTGAAGAAGGTTTACGCTCCTTAAATCGTATAATTTCTATGGCATTCTGTACTGTCAGTGTGTTACATGTAACTTATGCCACTGCCAGTGGCCACCGCCAGTGCATGTGGTGGTGACAGTACTGTGTAGTTTTTGCCTGCGTTAATTAGTTACAGGTGGCAGCTCTCTATTTCGGCCTGTAGGCTTGCGTAGGTAAATGGATGAGTGCTTACCTATTCTGTCTTGCAAATAGTTGTTGCTACTACGTACGATGGGAGCTTCTATCTTTAATCTTAAGACACTTAAACGTACGCGCCATCTCGTGGCAACTTTCATAACGATCCCAACAAACAATCCATCGAGAAGGTTCCTGATACATTCCCTGTGCCTCCCACTGTTTCGGCGCATATGTGAACACATTTGGGACTAACAGGGTTTAATAGAATCCCACCACTCCACCACAGAGTCACCGCAGTAGACGTGAGATGAGCGCTGTCGCTCCGCGGCACTTGTTATAATGATTTTGTGGCAAGTAGTTATGAGATAAATCTTAAATAATAACTAATGAAGCTACCCTGTGATTGTTCTACGCATTTGGATAAGCTATGTATATGGTGAAAGACATTCTGATATAAAAATTACATTATTATGTGCTCAGCATTGGCGTAATAGTTTTTGCAGTCTGTCTTTAGACGAAAACGTGTGTGAGGCTCCATGGTAGTATTTCTTGCTTGCTGTTGGTGTAGTTTGTGTAGTCTTTAGCAGGTGCTTTATGAATATAGTATGGCATTTGATACTACAGGAGTACGTGCAGTCCGTGCAGACGTCATCAGGTCGAGGTGCGTATGAAGCGTCTGTTCTCGGATCTCTCCTGTCATCCCTGCAGAGAAAACGTCCAGGTACACCCTCCGATCCTTCCCTGCATATGTCCCGTATGTTCCCGGTTGGGCATCCTATTAAAAAACCTATCCAGCTTGACTACAGTTCCATTTGCATTGCATTTGTGTACATTGTTGACATGTGCTCTGCTGGTTTGCACTTTTAGTAGGCATTGCCGATTGCAATTTATATGATTTAATTACCACTTGTGGAAGTGGAAGTAGCTAAACAGTTTCATTATTTCTTAATGATGAATCAGATGTTACTATACTAATAATAAAATGGTATGGTAGTATAGCTGAACAGTACAGCCATAGTTTAAAGATGGTCAGTAATGTCAATCATTTATATTATATATCATGCCATATCTTGCCACTGTGCTTCTGTCTACAGATTTATAAGTATGGAGCTCTTGAAGCATAAATATAGTATCTGTAGAAAATACGTCTCTATTGTATGCCAATCCAAACAGATGAAGCATTTGTATGGCTTAACATGTTTTATGACAGGCTTTCTTACGGATGGCGGCATGGGCTTGAAAGATCCCAGTGAATCATCATTATATGGGACTGATGTAGTTGAGGAAGACCAAAGGCAATTGGTTACAAATGTTGCTACACATGTTGTACACGGTTAGTGTTTTTATGGGGTCATCGGGTGTTGCTTTGTGGGAGAAGAGTAGACAGAGACCAGTGACATTTGCGAGGTGTAGTGCAAATCTAAATGTTTTTGCTGTCTATCAGGTTAACTCATAACTGTTCTGTTTAAACAATAAGGAGAGCTATATTTTGAATGAGCCTCAGTTTTTATTTATTCATTTGTATTGAAAAATTTGATATTTAGACTTATTTGACATGTTCTCTGTTTAATTTAGCTGCAGTGCATGCAAGTGCAGTGATGAGCACTAATCTACTAGCGTTTCTACTTCTGGTGAATTATCGAAAGGTATTTATAATAATTTTTATAAATAATTAAAATGCATTCTTGTACATAATGCTGTTTCATATACAAAACGTGGCACGTTTTTATGTAAATTTTAGTCTACATAATTTTACAGTGTAAAATGTGTGTTATATTTATACATCACTAATATTTCATTGAACGATGTTTTGTCTACAAGAAGTACGTGTGTTATCTACTAAAACTAATTGTCAAATATTAAATATTGCAATCATTTCCTCTTAAATTAATGCATAGGAAACATATGTGGCATTTCAATGAGCATAATTCAAACCTAATTTAACTGGTAATATGAATTAATCATGGTGTATTGGTCTCCAATAAGTATTCACAACCAAAGCTGTCTGAAAGGTTCTGCATATAAATTGTGTAGCCTCAATAGTCGGAAAGCTCTGCATATATTAGCCATATAATACTGAATTGTGCAAGAAATACGGTGAGTGTAGTCTAATGCATTTTTATAGACAACTCTAACTATAAAAAGTATGTATGAACAGAATTACGCTTTGCATCTTACATGTTTAGGGTATGTAAATAGTATCATTGTATGAAATTTACACAGGAATACCTTTTCTCATGCACACGTTACCTCTGCCGGTTGTTTTTATTTTCCGCCATCCAGACATTGATGTTTTGAGCAAAACGCAACTAAGTAGCTAAGTATAATATATAATAATGTCTTGCAGGGGGTCAGCATGAAGGAGCTAGTTAGAAGCTTTGACTGGGTGAAGGAAGAGGTCTTATTCCTGGATCGAGATTTAGGCTTCTCAGGGGAAACTACTGCAGTGATTGCACATGCTCTATCTATTTTGGACAATCACTTGGTAAGATTTTAATTTTCTGACAGCTTCATAAGTTATGTGGTGCAGTCATTACACCTGCCATAGCATCCTGTAATTTTGTGATATCTTTTTTTGCAATTAAATAATCAGACAATATCACATATTTACCCTATTTACTAGGATATAGTACCATTAGTACAGTTACCCTTACCTTGTAGTTACTCATGACAGAACGTTTGTAAAAATGCTTCTTATAGATGTTTTAAAGAATAATTGGGTAGCATAGTTGAACTAATGTCTATACCTATGTCAACAGGTCAACAAGGCATCTTCTGTGCAGTGTGAACAAACGAACAATAACATCGAGAACTGGCGACTTTCCCCCAATCTATCACTGCCGGATGTGTTTGGATTGACGTATTATGCTAATTCAGTCACATCCGTCTTTCTGATAGAAAGCGTAATAGGTAAACTAGTTTCTGCCATTTGACACATCTTGTGCTTATTATGGCCAACTATTCTTGGGTTGATTTAAAATTCTGGCGTGATTATCCCTTGAAATTAGATGAAGTTTGTACACCCTGCACATAATCCATTCTCAGCATCCAGATTTAAAGTGATTACGTCACCGTAAATAGTAAAACTAAAAAACATTTCCACTTTTTCACAAAATGTAAGTAATTCTGTTCACCTTTTATGGTTAAATTGCTGCATTATACTTCCTATTTTACTATATTGTTCGATGTAAACATACACTCGTGACTCATACATAGACCATAGCAAGCAATTAATGTCAGGATCATTTAATATCAAATCGTCCAGGTTTTTTTGGATTTTTAACTAGTTGAGAAACAATCTTATCAGATAAGAATTTGACGATACATTTAGTCCTGTTAGTACACTTACTTTTAATGTAAAAAAGTGAAAACAAAAATTTTACAAATATACACCATAGAAAATTCATGACGTAGTCAATTTAAATAGAAATGTTAATGAGCCAGGTACATTAAATAATTGTACGTAAGGTCAATGCTGCACTGACGTAGCTGTTATACCGAAAGAATTCTTATCGGCAGGAGTAGATAATAGGGAAGGAGTGTGATATCAATAAACAAGGGAAATTCGTCATTTACTAGCCTTATAATACCTACGATTTACTACGCGTAACTCATCCAACTTGAGCTCAAATCGGACACAGTACATTCGCCTAGCATCGTGCGAAATCGTTTCCTCGTATACACCCGCAATCCGGAGATACAGACTAAAACGTACGACACGATTCTCCATTCTTTGGCCATCAATCCAAAACCATTGCGCGCCTCTAATTCAAACAAAAGGCAGCTACCTAACCACAGCTTGCTAACTCGGCGGGCAATGTGGCTCGCTGGGAGATTTGAGCCCGATCAGCTGCTGCTGATTGCGGTTGGCGTGCGTGCGTGAAGGCATGCCAGGTATGTGCAGAGGTGGCCTGTGTAGCTGTGTACCAGGTCAAAGGTTATTCGCCGAGTGTTGATGCCTAATCTCCCAGCGAGCCACATGCTTCGCCAAGTTAGCAATAGCGCGTTAGGTAGCTGCCTTTTGTTTGAATTAGAGGCGCGCAATGGCTTTGGATTGATGGCCAAAGAATGGAGAATCGTGTCGTGTGTTTTAGTCTGTATCTCTGGATTGCGGGTGTATACGAGGAAACGATTTCGCACGATGCCAGGCGAATGTACTGTGTCCGATTTGAGCTCAAGTTGGATGAGTTACGCGTAGTAAATCGTAGGTATTATAAGGCTAGTAAATGACGAATTTCCCTTGTTTATTGATGTCACACTCCTTCCCTATTATCTACTCCTGTTATCGGTGATATATTAGATCAAACGAGCAGGCTGTTTTCAAGGGAATTTGATTTTCCAGTGAATGCTGTACTGGCACTAAGCAGGGAGCAGTGTTCTTACATCAAAGAGGACTCCGTTGTACTGCCCAAGCAGAGACTTATCCGCATGGCTACCCAACTCTGCTCTCTTCTACAATTTGAGTTTATCTTTACCCCAGTAAGCCTGCAATAAAATACACAATTATTTCATTTCCAATGATAACCGTCTCTCTGCTAAATTTTATGTGTGAATAGATGTTAAAATTTGCGTAATAATTTTAAAAGCTGATTGCTGTCGTTTTCACTTTAATAAATTGTATGTCTGTGCAGTCAAATCGTCGTTTCGGGTTTAGCGTTTTATTGAACATTGTATGATTTTGTATTGCAGCCATGTACCAGTCTACAAACACAGCTGCTAGATGGATTGGATAGACTCGTGGCATCTGAGGTGCTTTCAGAAGAGGTAAAATAATTCTAACAATATCTCTTTTATACAGAGAATTCTAATATAAATATAGTATAAATTAGATATCATCTGTTTTTAACATATATTTTGCGTATTACTCTGAGAGAAAATATCGGCAGTTTACGTTATAAGATTGTTTTGTGTGTATAACCACAGATTTTTGGAAAGTCTTGCCATCGATTTAATTAGTTAGGAAACTTGTACACACTTCGGTGTTAGATCTTATCGGACATAATTTTCCCATGTATGTAACGCATTTGCAGTTAATATATTACAAGTTACACTTGTGAAGAGAAATGTCTCTAACTGTAGCTGGTAGTGAAGTCGCGTCATGCAGATGAGGCCTGGACAGGAAACAGTGGTTTCTGCTGGGATTCAAGCTCAGATGAGGATGATGACGCCAATACCGTGGCTACGAAAGATGCTCTTGATGACAGAATTATTGTAAGCTCCCAGATTGTAGAGATCCTTAATGCGCATTGCAAATAGGTAGCAAAAGCAAGGAGTGATATCAGTTATGTTTGGCCTGTTGGTTTCCTTCTCTCGCAATCTGCACTTTTTGAAACTGGGAACTAACGTTTGAGGCTCAACTATAAAATGGCTTTTGCTGTATTTAAGTTTTTATTGTCTTTATATTAGTAGAGTGTTAGGTTTAAACTATTTGCCTGCTATATGAAGAATATAATAGGACTTGTTGATCTATACGATCAAGAAGTTAGCATATTAAAAAGTTTTATCTAGTAAACACTTGGGATGTCCGAATTTTAATTTCTGGGAATACTTTCTTTACACGAAGCTAAAGATGGCAAGTAATGGTGGGCAAGCCAAGTTGCACTTCCTGGAGAATGTCCTGCAGTCTTTGATCGAGACATACTGCATAGCTGCTGCTGCCCTTCCGCACCTTCTTGGTACCACAATGACAGGTACTTGAGGTCTCTATATGAGACAGTGAACTTGGGTTGATGTATGAGCGGCCAACTTTTGTTATGTAGATTCTTCCATGATCAGATTTGTACTAGGGTATAGGTATGTTCACGATACTTCCCGGGCGTTTTCTTCATTTCACTTTTGGTGTTAATTTATATTTTATGAGGTAAGAATCTGTGGCAAAGTTCGTTGTTGAGTGTTATATACCAAAGGCATTTATACACATATTTCGCAACTATCAATACAGATGAGCTTACACAATGTAAAATTATAAAATTGTTAAAAGAAAAACCGTGAGAAATCTGAGTACTTGACCATCAGATTGTTATATATGTTCATTATTTACAGAGAACAACTTTCAGCAACGCCTACAAAAATTGGCGATAGAACGAGTGGAGCGAGGACAGACCAGCTATCCTGAGTCGGTCTCCATGGACACACTGAGGAACTGCACACGTCTTTTTGAAAAGCAGAATGTAATTGCCCTGTACTATCTCGACACTCAACGAATGCTCGAACTTGATGTGATGTACGACACGGAAGTTGCCCTCGCTGAATACCTTCATGTGATAGAACTATTCAGAAGCTCGAGGTCTAATTACAAGGTATGTAGTGATACGGATGTAACTGCGAGATCGTGAGGTTTAAAGTCACTTAAGCTGGGGGCTGTGTTAATTGTTAAGAGCCAGCTAAATTTGTGTTCTATAATTAATATATTTGAAATGGGAAAAGGCAAAATGACAAGATTCGCAGGCATGTTATTCAAAGGTTGTGTTCACAGTAGGTTTGCGAGATGTTGGATATTATTTACCAACGTTTGGCTGCTATGTCAATTCTAGAATGGAAAACTTTGTCAGATTATTTTGCACGTTCTCAAACACAAACGTGAGCCTTGTGATCAACAACATTATTCAAAGTAAGTAAAGGCTACATATGTTTCAAAGCGCGAGAAAGAAAGTCGGGTGTGCGTTGGTTCATTCATTTGTATTGATATTGATTTGAAGATAATTGTAACTATGTATCTTAAATAGAGGAAACCGACACTTAATGGTTAGGAGAGACTATAGTGATGTTGTGTTATACATTCATAAAGTGTAATGTATAAAATGACTACTCAACCTATCAGAAAACTATCAGGCCATGTCATATTGTATACCAGGTAGATTCCTGAAGCATGGCTCCATGTCCAAAGCCAATGTTTGGTATTAGCTTAATGGGAACATTGATAGCATGATAAAAATTCTGTTGATCTGATATTTTAGTGTGCTCTATACAATACATTACATAGTTTTTTCTATAATTTATTGATTTGACTGAGGCCCTTCTTGGCTCACTTTCATTCAGTCATTATTTGATATTCAGTGATTAATGCACTTGCTTCGTATTAATGAAGAATCTTAGAATTTCACGCATAGTTGTAAACTTTTATCTTAATGGTGACATAATATGTAATAAAAAGCCAAATTTTGGTGGGTGGGGTAATATGGGATTCTCCTTCAAAAGTGCCACGACATGCCAAATCTGTGAAATATCTCGTAGTTACTGCTTTCATACATTATTATATCGATTTACTTAACCAAGGGGTTGGGCCGGCTGTATGTAGCACCGTGAACGTATGTATATCTCGAGTGAAGAGTATAGCCACACCCACCAACTGCTCTGGCAGATTGTTCATTACTGTTAGTGGCCTAGAGAGTTTGCATGAAAGTCATAGTCAGTATTTTACATGTACATTGCGAAGTAGTCTTTTCCGGTAAGTGTAATTTATGCACTAGATAATGCTGTAATCATTCTGTTGATCACAAACTCAAAGTGAGTAATGCAAACGAGTGTGTTGTCGTTCATGTGTGAACCATCCCGGTGACTTTGTTACTTAAATCTGAGTTGTACACGTCCTGCTTACTGAATAATGTGAGCAAAGTGTGGCTAGATTCGTTTGTCATTCCATTAGAATGCCGCAGAAGGCCTGTGTGCAGAATTTCAGACTATGCGCTTGATAACATTTCCTAGTACCTTGTAAACTTGTAACTAGGTACTTTTTGAATCCGGATTGTTTAATGACACTAATTTAAAGTCTTAACATTTTGAAAGGAATTTTGACATCTAGAATGGTCCTTTTCTCGCGAGTATTAGAAGTTTCCCATTGACTTGAAAATTTGTAGATTTGTTCTCGACATGTGAATATCGTTCAAAGTTACCTGAGGACAATGATGACAAATCTGTTTGCTCAAGCGTTATATTACTTGCTGCGTGAGATATTCGTCATATCACATTGTGAGCTGTATATATATATATATATATATATATATATATATATATATATATATATATATATATATATATATATATATATATATATATATATATATATGCTATTTGACCAATTATACTTAAATCTTAGTTGATTTTCTCTATTAATAAGGCTAGTGATATCTCACATCTCAGTAAACCTGTGAAGGGTTATAGTGAACCAATCACCATTATAAATAGGAAATACGTGAAGTCATATATACATATGTTACTAAATGGTCCCATTGCAGATATGGATGTTTTATATTAGGGTATCAATAGTGGATTCTGACCCGATGTCCTACTCATTTGACATGTCTAGTTGCATGCAAAGTTAAATCTGGTTATGTAAGCTGAGCTACTATTGACGAATAATGAATCCCGTGTCACGGTAACTATGAAGGGTGCGGTGTAGTATCATGTGAATTGTATTGGCATTTTGTATGGAATAAACTTTGTGTAATTGTCAGGAACCAACGTTGAAACAGCGTTGTTGTATTTGTTAGTTGAAACAACGTCAGTTTTCAACAACGCAATGTTAGTTTTCAACGGTACAACAACGTCAGCTTTCAACTTTCGTTTTATTCTCCCCAGTACCCACAGAGTAAAAGTAACAAAAAAATACAGTTAATATCTGTTTATATTTTGTCTACACATACAACATTAAAAATAGTGCGAAACTACAGCTAGAAATTAACGGTAGATATGACCAATAAATGGCGTATATGTTTCACAACAAATCAAACAAAACAATTCAACATCAAAATTAGCACAGGTTTAAAGTTTCCAAGTGAATGCAGATGTAAATAGCAACATTTTCCCCCTAAAAACGGCTGCCAGAAGACTGCTTCAACATTGACAAAGCAATCGGACAAGTATTCGCTGACAGCGATTCTGAAGGGGAGTTTGTGTCATCATACGGTAACAATAGCCGCGTTCACACGGAGCGAAGGAACTCTGGTCGAAAACGACCCGAGTCGTTTTCGTACCGAGAAAACGTCCGTGTGAACGCTCGTCCCGGGACGCATTTGACACGGGTCGTTTTCGACCCGAATTCCTTCGCTCCGTGTGAACGCGGCTAATGATCGGTTGTCTGCTGCCAGTGTTAATAGCAATGAATCCAACATTCATTCGGCAGTGATGCCGCTGTTTGCAAACAGGACCTCTAGGACCTCAAGGGTTTTCCATAGGCCGCTACTGATCAACATGTGCGTCCTCGCTAAATCCAACTCCCGGAGATAGCGTGCGTTGTGAATGTGGCAGCAACAGTCCAAGTCTGTTGTAACATGTTCTTGGTAAAGCAAATAAATTCGAATATCAGATCGCCAATCAAACAGTCGGTTTCCATGTTGAGATTCCAAAACTAACGAAACGCATAACATTCCTCTTGTGCGGTTAGCACACCCATGCAAGTTAAGGGGATTCAGGTGAAGATGGTGGCAGAGGCGCGTCCCATTCCGACCACAGCAAAACAAACAGAGAGCCACTAATTGTTTTTAAAGTAAATTATTCGCGTAAACATACGGAGTTATATACCCAGGGACGCAAATTCATTTTAAAAAGTGTGGGGGACCAGACGTGGTTCAAGAGCCTGCGAGGGAGCGAAGCGGGCGATGGGGAGCTGGGAAGGGACTTTTTTTTTTCCCCGTCCAACGGTAGGAACTTTTCGTATTTTTGATTTCTAAAAGGTTTATTTTCGCGCATTTTAATTGCAAGTATCAACTATTGTTTGTATCGTTTACATGCCATAAACTTGGTCATCTGATCACTAGAGGTCGATGAATTTTCAAAACTCCGTTTCAAATAATGCCTTTTTGACTTCTTCGTGTATATCGTTGATTGTAACCCATCAAGGGCTTCGATCCATTTTGAGGATTGGGGGAGGGCAAACAATATATTCAGAATTTAAAGTGTTAAAGTATGGTAGCTTCAACTATGATATCTTTATGTATCTCTTAAATTTATCTCAAAACAAAATTTAAACGACACTTTTCACATGTACTGGAATTACAACCATTCACTGAGTGAAACATGTTTCTTTTTATGAATACTGAAGGCTTAAGGGCCGGACACACTAGGCGATTAAATCGGGCGACTAAATCGCCGGTGAAATCGCCTAGTGTGTCCACTCAATCGCTGCCGATTTAGTCGCCCAATTTCATCGCCCGATTTAATCGCATAGATCAAAACGTTTTGATATTATCGGGCGATTTAGTCGCCCGATTTAGTCGCACGATTTAATCGCCTAGTGTGTCTGGGGCCGGCGATAAAATCGCCCGATTGTACAATTCATCAGCCAATCAGAGTTGTTCAATGATACTGACGTAATAGCGATGTTTCATGTTTAGTATGTCATGTCATGTAATAGCGATGCACGCACGCACGCACGCACACACTCATGCACGCACGTGTACGTGCGCACGCACGCATGCACGCACGTGTACGTGCACACGCACGCACGCACGTCTACGTGCACATGCATGCACGTGGGCCGAGTTCACGCGCATCATTCGTATTCAACCACGGGCATAATAATGTACACAGGCGCGCGGTTAATCAATCGTCTACTGCGGCTGGCAGCAATATGCTGGTCCCAAAAGTGTCGACTTATGCAAGTTTTATGGTACTTTCTATTTTATGCAAACAAGTGACAGATCCAGGGGAGAGGAAACCCCCCCCCCCCATTTTTGAACAAACATACATAGAAGTGAGTGGCCTTGTCGGTCTGTGCCCCCCTTTTTTATCAATACTGGACTCGGACTCGGGGGGGTGCGGACTCGACTACAACACTGGCACACATGCACACACGTGTACCTGCACACGCACATACGCACGCACGCACACACGCATGCACGCAGGTGAACGTGCACACGCACGCACGCACGTATATGTGCATACGCACGCACGTGTACGTGCACACGCACGCACGCACGTGTACGTAAACACGCACGCACTCACACACGCACGCAGGCACGCACGTGTACGTTCACACGCACGCCCGCACGCACACATGTACGCACGTGTAAGTGCACACGCACGCACGCACGCGCGCACGTGTACGTGCACACGCACACATGCACGCGCGTCTATGTGCACATGCATGCACGACTAGGCGATTTTACCGGCGATTTAGTCGCCCGATTTAATCGCCTAGTGTGTCCACTCGACTCGCGCGATAGAATCGGGCGATTTAGTTGCCCGATTTAATCGCCTAGTGTGTTCCCTTTCCTTTAAAGATAGTAGCCCTCATTTGCAAAGCATCGTGGAAGGTCTCGAACAAATTTAGGCTCATTGTAACTTAAAATGAGAACTCAGCAAAGTAAATTAACATATCACAGAATGGGATTTATGGTTATAATGCGACATTTCAATTAGAAATTAAACGTTTTCCTCTTAAGACGACTGGAAGACGCCTTAAGAACTCAAAGAAAACATTATGATGCATCTACAAATGGAATTTTATGAAAATTGGGAGGGTGTGCAAATGAGGGCTACTACCTTTAATGTAAACAGTGTATCTAAAGTAATAGACTTTTGTTTACACTGTATCTAAAATGAAAGACACTACGAATCTTGACCCCGTACACTGCTGAAGTTTTTGTTTTATTTTGGAAACTTTTCATGTACACTCCTAAAAAAGTTCGGAAATTCAGGTTTGATCGATGATATCTAGCTTGTACTTGCATTATTATCATTGCATTTAGTATCATTGGAAAGCCTGTTCATTTCACTTCACAAGGATGTCCCATTTGCAATGATTAGGCAATTGTAGGATATGCAGTACAGCTCGGAACAAGAGTCAATATATAGGAGAATGCACTTTTGACACTAGCAATGCCTTTTACAACATTTCACTTCGGACCCACCCCCATATTCAGGTCTAACGATAACATTTTATTACAGAAATCGATGCTGAGATACCCCCTGACCAAACTAAATGCATTTTCATCACAAAATAAAACTCCTCTGGTGAGATATTGCGCATGCGCTAAAGCAGTAACGTAGCCAGGTTATGTACTTAATGGTATATGCAGCAGGGATCTTGCATGAAAGCTCTGCTTCCTATTTCTGAAGTGAGGTCTACTGATGAAATTTTCTCATATAGATCTATTCTAGGATAACTCCTCTTCATTTTAAATTCATAATGTTTGCAAAATATTATTATTCTCGGGAGATATTGCGCATGCGCCAGCACCGTTTCAGGCGTGCAGTAGGCCTACGACCTAAATAAAAGTACGTAATATAGCTTGCTGGTGGAGAGAGGGGTGGGAAACTGAGGGGAGGTGGCAGAGAAGACAGTCGAGAGGCGGTAGAAGAAGAAGGAGGCTGAGCGTGCGACAAGGAAGATAAGGGAAAAGGCGGGCGGGGATGAAGTAGGAGTTTTGCACCCTACAGGCTATAGGGCGCTCTCCTAACTATAAACACAGGTCTACTGATAAAAATTTATGACAGAAACCTACGTTGAGATATCCCTGACCATACTAAATGCGTTTTCATCGCAAAATAAAACTCCTCTGGTGAGATATTGAGCATGCGCTAAAACAGTAACGTAGCCAGGTTATGTACTTAATGGTATATGCAGCGGGGATCTTACATGAAAGCTCTGCTTCCGAAGTGAGGTCTAATGATGGAATTTTGTCATGTCTATCTATGCTAGGATGACCCCTCTTCATTTTAAATTTATAATTTTTGCAAAATATTATAATTTTCTCGGGAGATAGTGCGCATGCGCGAGCACCGTTTCAGGCGTGCGGTCACTGCGGTTAGACCTAAACAATAGTAGGCCTACTATACGTAATAGCCCTATATACGATATAGGTATAAATTATATAATATATATACGAATGTACATATATCTACCACAAATATCATGCTACTGGAGAGTTATAGCGAGCGCGCGCGTACTAGCCTTGCATATTACAAGTCCATGTGCATGGATATCCAGGCCCGTAGCCAGGGGGGGGGGCGTTCGCCCCCCCCAATAAGAATTTCACTTCAGGTATGCACCAGATCGCTCCATTTTAGTGTAATATTGCAAAATCTCCATCGTGCTGGAGGGGGACACCCCCTCCCACACCCTCCCCCTGCTCGGTCGCTATGCTCTCTCACAAATTGCCAACATTTAAAAACGAACCCCCCTTCCCCAATATAAAGCTGGCTACGGGCCTGGATATCGGATATGGAGTGACAAGATTCTGGAACTCAAGACTAGTATAGTAGTAAATCCTTTCAATATCTCCTACCTAAGCCACCTACCAGCAGTATACGGTCGCGGTTCCTGTATTTAGTTTAGGCTATCAATCGGAATTAAGTCATTTTTTATACTTTCTACTTTTTCATTTAGTGGAGTAGAGACAAGCACAAAATAGTGTGTGTGTGTGTGTGGGCCGACCGTCGGCGGCGTGCTGTTGCAGGCCGCGTCGGGGCGGCTGGGCGTGCGTCGTGGGCGGCGGTGGTGTGTGTGTGCGTAGCTGTGCGTGCCGTGCCCCCCCGGCGGGCGGCCGCGGCCGCCGCCGGCGCGCCGGCCCGCCCCCCCCCGTGCCGGCCCCGCGGTCGCCCGGACCCGGCGGCCGGCGTGCCGTGGTGCGTGCGGTGCGTGTGTTGTCCTGCTGCTGTGTGTCACTGTGCTGCGTGGTTGTCCGCGGGTGTGCTGAGGGCCCGCCGTGCGCGCTGTGTGGTTGGCTGCTCCGGTGCGTGCGTGCTTGTTGTGGGTGTGTGAGTGGCTGTTGTGTGTGTTGTGTGGCGCTGTGTGTGCTGCGTGCTGTGGATGTGGGTATGTCTGTGTTGCCTTTGGTGCTGGAGGGCTTGGTTGTGTTTGGGTCTGCTCGTTTGCGGGTGTGGCTGTGTGGGCCGGGCTGGCGCGGGCCTGTGTGCCCTGTCGGGGGGGCTGGGGCGGCGGGGGCGGGCGCTTCGGGCCCGTCCGCCGCTTTTCCGCGTCCGCGCGGCGCCGGGGGGCGGCGCCGCGCCTCGTGCCTCGCGGTCTGCGGCCGGCGGGCCCGCGTCCGGCCTCGGCGCGGGTGTGTGTGTTTGTGTGCGGGCCCCCGCCCGCGCCGGCTGCTGTGCTGGGCCTGTGCTGGGTCCTTGGGGCGGCCTGGCGTTCGGTGGAGGGGCGCCCGCCGTCGCCCCGGTGGCGTGTGGGTGCGCCGCGCCCGCGGCGCCGCGGGCGTTGCCTTGTGCTGTGCGCTGTGCTGGGTCTCGGGCGGGCGGCGGCCGCCGTGGGCGCCCGTGGTATTCGCTCGGGGCTGGTGTGTGTCGTCTTGTTTCCTTCGCTGTGCTGCTGTGTGTGTGGTGCCGTGCGCACCATGGCTCGGCCCACGGCTGCGTGCCATGCCATGCAGTGCATGTGCGTGGTCGCGCCGGGCGCGTTGCTCGGGCGGAAGCGGTGCATTGTCGGCGCGCTCGCGTACTCATGCTGCTGTCTTCACCCTGTGTGTGCTGTGTGTGTGCGCTGCATGTATGCGTGCATGCGTGCCGCGCTGCGTGCGTGCGTTGCGGTTGCGCGTGCCGCGGTGTGGGCAGCCGTTGCCGCCGTGCAGTGCGTGCGTCTCGATACATGGATGGGTCTGCTGCCAAGCCGTAAACCATTGCCATTGTGGAGCCCGTCATCCGTAAATCTATGTAATTGCCTTAGTAATAGCGCCCGCACGTTAGCATGGCCGACGCGCAGCCAACAAGCGCCGTGGGCGTTCACTTGCCGACTCTGCTCTCGAGGGATAATGCTATCCCCCGCCGGCGTGGATGCGGAGGTGACCGCCCAATCGTGCAGCCACTAGTTGTTGCGGATAGTTGTTAGCGATTAGGTTAGGGTTAGGATTAGCGGGCTCTAGAGGTTATGGGTTAGCGTTTAGGATTAGGCGTTAGGGTCTAGCGCCGTTTTTGCTCATGATATCTGTCCCCACACCATAGCCTATTAATTTTCCGTGGATAACAATGACCTATATTAGCGCCTGGCGACACAATATAACTATTATAAGTGTTCGCAGTGTATGCGAGGTGAGAGAAGTTACACGTTATGAGGATTATGTTCTTGAACGTACATACAGTCAAGTATCACAGTGAACCCTCCCTTCCACTCGCGGGCGGGCGATTTATTTTTTCCGTACCGCTCTAGCGCGTCAGCGGTCGGGGCCAGCGTCTATGCGGGAATGCTTTGCGTCACAGGCCTCAACAGTCCCCTAAAACACTATGTACTCGAACTACTCAACAAATAATTAATATAGTGTTTACACAGCGCTTCTATCGCTAGCAAAGACCGTTTCTTGGAGCCTATAGTAGTGATTACGGTTTGCATACTTTAACGAGACAAAGATGGCGGCGGTGGCGCCGATTTTCGAAATAACGCCTTGGGAAAATAAAATTCAGATTTGGAGAGTTTAGATTGAGCTAGAACCCTAACCCTACACCCTAAACCCTAACCCTAACCCGAACCTGTGGCTTTAACCCATAACCCTTAACCCTAAACCATGGCTGTAACCCATAACCCTAACCAATATGCATTCCCAATACGCATAGCGAGCGCTGACGCGTTAACGGTACGGGAAAAAAAATCGCGCCCGGCGAATAGCATTACCCTGCTCTCGACGAACGCAAGCTAGATATGTTACCTGCTCCCTCACATTGAAATAATCATATGTTTGAATGAGGCATGGTACCCGTCTATGGCAGCGATCGAAGCGCCCTCAATGGCGCCAATAGACCATACCGGCATGTCAGGAACAATGTTACATAAATACAAGTTACGTTATTAAGTTATGATTTCTGCGTGGAAAAGAGAATTAGCATCGAACTACATATTTACAAAACTTACAAGGTCAGTGTTCGTAGTATTGTCGGTCTGTGTTTTGCACCTGAAAATTATAAGTAGGGGGGCCTACTAGTAATAGTGGTACTACTACTAGTAAATGAGAACAATACAGTAGGCCTACAGTATACTCGCCCAATAGTGAATAGAATGAAAGTGCATTGAACTCTGTCGATAGACAATAGACTAGTCAATACTGGCAGTGACAACACTAGTACTAGTAGTAGTACAGTGTCGCCACAGATACTTGGAACGGGCTTGGAACGTTTCAATACTAAAATAATGGTAAATAAACACGAAATTTATTTACGACCAAAGTCTTAATCTAAGTATTATCTTAATGAGTCTCTTTTGCCCATCTACTCTAGCCTATATAATGATATATACGTAGCTATTGCCGTATTGGAAGCAATTAAGTTGGAGGTTAATTGATTAATTCAAGGTACCGGTACTATAGTCCATGCCCGTTAGGTGGTCAGAACTTCTGTGTAGACCACATTGTTCATGATGGAACGTTTAGTTGTGTCCTTGGCGTCTACAGCTACACACACACACACGCGTGCGCATACACACTAACTAAAAACGCAGTGCCAGTGGCTACGCATCCGGAACCGGTCGCCTAGCCCTCCAGGCTATGCATCCAGACATCCACATCACACCAGTGATGTCGCGCGACTGCAGTAACGCATGATTGCCGCAACGGCGGGCGCTCTAGCTGATTGCCGTAAATATGACAATATGCATGCCTCTGCTGGCTATCCTTTCAATCCGTTGCCATCTCTCGCTCTTTCCTCTCTTTCACACACCATATGCACACAGCTCTCTCTCTCTCTCTCTCTTTCTCTCATCTCTCTCTCTCTCTCGTCTCTCTCTCTCTCCCTCTCTCAACACACACACCACACACACACACCTCTATGCTCTCCTCTCTCTAGCTCTTCTCTCTCTCCTCTCTCTCTCTCTCTCTTCGCTCTCTCTCTCTCTCTCTGCTCTCTCTCTCTCTCTCTACTCTCTCTCTCTCTCTCTCTCTACTCTCTCTCTCTCTCTCATCTCTTCTTCTCTCGCTCTTTCTCTCTCCTTCTCTCTCTCTCCTCTCTCTCTCCTCTCTCTCTCATCTTTCTCGTCTCTCTCTCTCTCTCCTCTCTCTCTCTCCTCTCTCTCTTCTTCTCTCTCTCTCTCTCTCTCTCTCTCTCCTCTCTCTCTCTCTCTCTTCTCTGTCTCTCTACCCTTCTCTGTCTCTCGTCTCTCTGCTCTGCTCTGTCTCTCTGTCTCTTCTGCTCTGTTCTCTCCTGTCTCTCTGATTTCTCTCATGGTCTCTCTGTCTCTCTGTCTCTCGTCTCTCTGTCTCTTCTGTCTCTCGTTCTCTCTGTCTCTCTGTCTCTCGTCTCATCTGTCTTTCTCCTGTCTCTCTGTCTCTCTGTCTCTCGTTCCTCTGTCTCTCTGCTCTCTCTGTCTCTCTGATCTCTCTGTCTCTCTGATCTCTGCTGCTCTCTCAGTCGTCTCTCTGTCTCCTTGCCTCTCTGTCTTCTTGTCTTACTGTATCTTTGTCTCACTGTCTTCTTGTCTCTCTGACTACTTGCCTCTCTGTCTCTCTCTCTCTCCTCTCTCTCTCTCTCTCTCTCTCTCTCTATCTTTCTTCTCTTTCTCTTCTCTCACACAACAACACACAACATACCTCTACGCTCTCTTCTCTTCTCCCCACACACACACACACACCATACACACACACACCAACACACACACCACACACAACACACACACACACACACAACACGACACAACACACCTCTAGCGCGCCTCTGTTCTTTCTCTCTCTCTATCAGTCATACACGCACGTACTCATACACATTCCCTTTCTCTCTCTCTCTCTCTCTCTCTCTCTCTCTCTCTCTCTCTCACGCACACACACACACACTCGGCAATCAGCAGAGCGTCCCGTTGCGCAATCATGCGTGTACGTGTCGCAAGATCACCGTGTGAGATGGATGTCCGGACGCGTAGCCTAGCGGCTCCTCATCCGGAACCGGTCGCGTAGCCACTGCTAGTGCTAACTAAAAAAACAAGATAGCTTGTAAGAGTATTATTAGAGGTCAGTCTGAATGTTGTACGATTTATGTTTACCATTGAAAATCTTACCTGCGACATCAGGAGTTTCTTGACAGCGGGCGACTTTCTTGCGGGCGGTATATCTTGTCGATGCTTAATATCTCGACGTGTCAGTGATGCCTTTCTTTTTGGTGGCATTAGCTGGGCACTCGTTATAACCAATTTTTGCCGTGTGGAAACTTTGACTTATGTTATAACGAAATGCGCTTCATTTAAGAAACAATGTAAAAACAATGTATAACATTTCTCTGGTTAGATTAGATGGAGCGACTTAGAAAATCTTAGATAGAGCGCCTTTGGTTATACATTGTTTTTAGCTCATCTGACGTACCGGTAGTCAGATGCAGCTTGTAGAATTGCATGATCGTGCGTGCGTCCGTCTGTCCGTGCGTCTGTCAACAGTTGGGCACAAATCTTAACCGCTTCACGTACGGTTACGATATTCGGGACGTCCGGTGGGGGATAGTTAAAAGGACTCAGGATGACAAATTTGGGGGTCAAGGGTCAAAGGTCAAGATGTATAAACGGAGAGGGAATATTTCTCCCTTAACTTAAGGTATAGGAGGAAATACGGAATTGCGGCACAAATCTTAACAGCCTGACCTATGCTCTTAATATTCGGTATATAGTGTGATGGGCAGAAAACCCATCACCAGTGCGAAATTGGGGGGCACAGGTCAAAGGGCAGGGGTTAAAGGTCAGTATCAGACATTTTCTGAGGACATGACCTAATGGACAGAGTGAAAAACTTTTTTGTTTCAGTGCTGACCTACCATTTTTATCACTTTATTGAAAGGACCATGAAATGTGCTTTCCACTGACATGCGAAGATTAAGTGTCTGATAACCTTTTGACCCGCAAGAGGAGGGTTAAACATGGATTCCTGAACTGCCTCAATGACGTCACAGTGTTGTCATATTCATGGCACATCAATAATCTAGAAACCCAATAAGCCTGGATAGCCGAACGCGTACAGCACAAGCGTCACGGCTCAAAGGTCGTTGGATCGAATCCCATCTGATTTTTTATTATTTACCTGTATTTTTACCCTATACTCTGTATTTTTCTATCTTTATCCATTTAACTATTTTTTTAAATTAACGCAAATATTTACATGATTTATTTACAACAACTAAGTTTTTTTTTTAATAGGGTTAGGATTAGGGTCACAATGCACGATAAAACAGGAGTTTCAGGCACGCGATTTGTATCAACCAATGGGATTTGGGAGGTATATTTATATGCAGAATGCAGAAGGTTGTTGAAATGATGTGTATGCAACTGGGTATCTGCATATCTGCGCCTAACAAAGGTGTCACTTGAGCCCAGACGCTCTGCGGTTCTTGTTTACATTGCCATTGTGTTTTCGTGTTGTGACGTTGCCCCGCGCTCGGTGCAAAAATTTCCCACTTTTTTAATGTTTTTGAACGTGGAATGTGAAAAAAATAAAACTGTGAAAAAAAATAGCCTATGCAACGTGTCATGATCTGTAGAATGTTCCGACCAAGTTTGGAGAGGATCCGTTGAGCGGTGCAGAAACGTATAGCCGGACACACACACAGACAGAAATTCCCCAATTTATAGTAAGATTGCAACAACTTAGGTCAGCTGTAGCAATGTTTGTAAACATCTATAAGAAATACGCAATGTGCATTGGCTGATAGAACATTAGTATACCACAGTGATAGAAACTAGGATCATAGGATGATGGTTTTTTTTAAATATACATATATATGTGTATATATTAGAGGTGTAACGATGCTCTAGGGTCTTGATACGATACGTATCTCTATACGTAGGTCATGCATACGTAGGTCACTCTATACGTAGGTATATGATACATGTCGCGATACATATTTATATATATGTGTATGTATAATATCTATTCCAACACTCATAATTCCAACGTATAATTATGAGTATGTAAAAGCTGTGGAAATATGTAGTAAACAATCTGTTACTATATATATATATTTCTATGGCTGAAACACACATGTTCTCAGTGTGCTCTAGACTGACCTGTAATCAACAGCTCCACTCAACGTTTACGCTATACACAGTGCTACAGTGCGTGTGCAATAACGACACGCACCAGTCAATTGGCACTCGATCTTTATTGTTTTGCGGTAACACTTTTGGCAGCAATACAACTGCACTGCATATATTGACCCAGACTGCTACAATAGCCGAGGATATTTACGTGATACTGAGAGGAATTTCATAAAGTATAACAAAAAATTCAATATCGATGAATCATTACACCCTAATATAAATGTCATAGTGTATGAGGTGGCTGACTAAGATGACTTTATAAGTTTAAAGTATATTTGCCACTTCTGCTCCTAACATATAAACGTGGCTTTATTTGTATACATGTGGATAACATGATTTTTTTCCTTTATAATTTTCGTAATTTTTTTCTTATACAATAAATATAATCATTTATAACTGATATTTATGATACATGAAAAAAATAATTGAGCAAAAATAAACGTCTTTAAACTGATGAAAGCACAGAGGTAGGTTCATTGACTGGAATGTCAGTACGACCACCTTTACTTCTCGGACAAATCTTGACACGTTATTCAGATCTGTAAGAAAAGCTAAAGAGAGGCTACCAAGGTAACGCAAATATTTACTTGGCCGAGCTGTAAACTGGTCTTCACCACTCCCTCTCTCATTCTCTGGGTTGTGCTACACGCGTGGATAGTCGTTGAGTTGCCAATCACGATTGAAAAGATGTATCTTTACAGGAGTGAATGTTAATTCATGTGAAATTCTTATATGGTGTGTTTTTCTAAAGCACAGCATGTAGGTTCTAGTGTGATGATTGATGTTCTTTAGTTAGACCGCTATTTTGTGGACAATGTTTTCTTGTGGAAAATAGTTTTATGAGCATTTCACTC